ATCAAAAATATTGGAAAGGATGGTACATGATCAATTGAAAGAGTACTGCTCTGAGAATAACATAATTCCAAAAAACCAGTCTGGCTGCAAAGTAGGGAATAGCACCACCACTGCCCTGCTTAAGGTGACTGATGATATTGTTGAGGCTTTGGATCGGGGTCAAGCAGCGGCTCTTGTACTGCTTGACTTCTCCAAGGCTTTTGACACTATCAAGCATTCACTTTTGATCTCAAAATGCAAATATATTGGATTTTCTCAAGCATCTATCAAGTTCATTACTAGTTATCTCATGAATCGTATGCAAAGGGTACATTTGGACAACTCATATTCGACATATAAGGATGTGATATCAGGGGTCCCTCAAGGCTCTGTTTTAGGGCCGCTATTGTTCTCCATTTACATATCAGACATGTGTAAACTGATACGCTCCTCTGAAGTGATGATTTTTGCGGATGATACACAAATATGTAAAACTTTTGATCCAGATGACTGTGTAGCAGCTGTTGACGAGTTGAATTGTGACTTAGCCACTATTGTTAGTTTTTCCAAGCATAGCTCCTTAACGATAAATGCCTCTAAATCTAAAGCTGTTCTCTTTGCACCAAAAAACAAAATCATTAATATCAGAAATAACACGACAGTACGCATTAATGACACTTCTTTAGTTTATGAGGATCTTGCAAAAAAAATTGGGTGTCTTACTTGACAAGGATTTACGTTTTCGTGAGCATATATCTAAATTAGTAAGAAACTGCTTTGTTGTACTAAAAACATTGTTTGTTAGTAGGCATTTCATCAATTTCAAATTGAAAAAACATCTTTGTGAAAGCCTAGTTCTCTCAAAAATCAACTACTGCCTTATAGTTTTCTATCCTTACTTAGATCAAGTCTCGCAGACTTCAACTGATTCAAAATTCGTGCTGTCGCCTCATCTACGGTTTAAGAAAATATGACCATCTTTCACACTGTATTCGTAGTTTAGATATTAATAGCTCTTACGAGTATTTTATCTTGAAGTTCATTTATAATTTGATTATCACGGGAACTCCCGAATACCTCTTCAAAAAATTTTTTTTCAGGCAATCTGTTAGAGATCGCATGCTCAGGTATGGCAAATTCACTGATCAACAGCCAAAAATATCCTAAATAAAATCAACAAAATATTACTATTTTTAATGTGCTAAAACCGGAATGAAACTTATTTTTTCAATATTAGTTCAAGTTTTAGAGATACGGAAATTATATGTGTTCCTGCTGTGACAGTGTTAATATACTGTAATCCACAAGAATGCACGTGCTACATTTTTATATTCGGCAAGGAAAGATGATGTAATCGGCATGATTGTGTTACGTTATACATACGTGTACATTATATTGTTTTATATTAGCCATTTTTTCCTCAGTTGGCTGACAGCGTTCATGCAAGATGTCTCGAAAGTGTGTAAACAATCCAGATTAGTTTTGTTACGTGTGTGGTGATGTGACTTTTGCGTCTCAGAGACGGTCTATTACTCCACTAATAACAAAGACATATCAGCTTTATTTCGGTTGTAAGCTAGGTAATGAAGACAAACAGTGGGCACCCCACATCTGCTGTAATACATGTGCTTCAAGTCTGAGGAGCTGGTTAAATGGCAAAAAACGGTCTATGCGCTTTGCTGTCCCAATGGTTTGGAGAGAGCCTACAAATCATATTAATGATTGTTACTTTTGCATGGAACCTTGTGTTGGCAAGCCACAGGTATGTCCAAGAAAAAAAATCGGTTATTAACTACCCAAACATACCATCTGCGATGAGACCTGTGCCTCACAGTGACGAAAATCCTATTCCAAAACCCCCACTTGCGAATCAGAAAATGAATCAGATCATGGCGATCGAGTGATTCGTCAGGAAGAAGATATGCCATCAACGTCAAGAGATCCTGATTTTATACCGAGCACGTCATGCCACCAACCGCACAAAATAACACAGTCAGAATTAAATGATCTTGTATGAGATTTAGAACTTCCAAAATGTAAGGCAGAGTTACTTGGATCAAGACTGCAGCAGTGGAACTTGTTAGAAGACGATGTTTCGGTATGTGTTTTTCGTAAACGCCACAAAGACTTAGAACCATTTTTCAATATGGAGAATAACTTGGTTTTCTGCAGTAACATTAACGGCTTACTGGCGGCTTTAAATATAAACTATAACCCAGAAGAATGGAGATTGTTTATATTCAGTTCAACATTGAGTTTAAAGGCAGTGTTATTGCATATTGGAAATATTTTACCATCTCTTCCTGTAGGGTATGCAGTTCACATGAAAGGATCATATGACAATATGAAGTACCTATTGACATGCATAAAATACGATGAGGACCAATGGCATATTTGTGGCGATTTGAAAGTTGTTGCACTTTTACTTGAGCTGCAGCTAGGCTACACAAAGTTTTGCTGTTTTTTGCGTGAATGGGACAGTCAGGCATAGGCACTTCATTACACCAGACAAAACTGGCCTGTTCGTCAATTCCTAGAGCCAGGTCAAAAAAATGTACAGCATATGCCATTAGTAGGTTCGAAAAAAATTTTATTACCTACCACCACTGCATATCAAGTTGGGCCTAATGAAAAACTTTGTCAAGGCATTAGATAGAGATGGGTCAGCTTCTCAATACCTGCGTCAGAAATTTCCAAGACTAAGTGAGGCAATGGTTAAAGAAGGTACTTTTGTTGGGTCACAGATTCGAAATATTTTGAAAGATACACAGTTTGAAAACACTTTAATAGGTATTGAAAAAACTGCTTGGAATGATTTCCGTCTGGTGGTCACTAATTTCTTGGGAAATATAAAAACTGACAACTATAAAACCCTTGTCAAAAATATGCTGTCATCGTATCAAAAGATGGGCTGTAATATGTATCTTAAGATACATTTCCTACACTCACACCTGGACTTTTTTCCTGACAATTGCGGAGCCGTAAGTGATGAGCAGGGCGAACGTTTTCATCAGGATATTTCAACAATGGAAAAAGGTACCAGGGAAAGTGGAATCCTTCCATGCTTGCAGACTACTGTTGGACTCTTGGTAGAGATGTTCCAGAAACGATCCATAAAAGAACAGCAAAAAGACAGCGCATATAGTGATTCTTATGAGTATATGAATCTTGTTACTTTTTTTAATATATCCTTAAAAATAAAAAGTTTTTTTTCTAAACCGCAACTAATTTTTTTATTTCATTGTCATTTTTGGATTCAGCGCCCCAAAATTAACAAAGAAGTACACTTTTCCCACAAGATACAATTAAAAAACTAAAATTTGTTGTCCGGTATTATTAGATATTCCACGGCACCGTACGCCTTTATTTACTCGCTCTTTTAGGTACAATTGTGTCAAACTGTATAACGTGCTACCTGATGCATTCAAAAATACATCTCAAACTAAATTTAAAGTTTGTGTCAAGCAGCATTTGCTATCAAAAATGACTCGTAGTAGTAATTAAGTAGTAGTTTGTAGTTTAGATTAGTAACCGCCAGAAAAAATTTATTTGACGTGTTGCTGAATCTGTTTATATTTTCTATATTATGTCTTGCAATATTTTTGTTTTCCTTTGGTTAGCCACTGTATACAGGGTGTCCGCAAAGTTGGGGTTTTCCTTTTCAGAAACAACTACCCTTGAAATAACAAAGATAATGTGTAGTGAAACGAGGCCGACCAAGTAAAAAAAATAAAGAAAAAAGTACTCACTCTCCAGTTGACGAGAAGGGCTAAGTACGTCTCTGCCCGAAATTATACCGCTCCAACAGAAAATGAAATCAGCTGATGCGCTACCGAGCAGACGCCGGCGGTGGTGCAGACCAGTAGTCGACGAAGAGGTAAAAAATATGACCATCGTGCAGAAACCACATTGATTGTCTTACACTTAATGGCACATCTGCTAACAAGGAAGGCAAAATGTTGTGTAAAAAGTCTAGGTATTGCATCCCGTCCAATCGATTTGGGAGAATAAATGGTCCAATGAGCATACCGTTCACCATGCCAGCCCAAACATTCACCGGAAACGTTTGTTGAAAATGTGCCCGACGGACAGCGTGCGGATTTTCTACTGACCAAACATGAGTGTTGCGCAAGTTATTCACCCCATTACGCGTGAACGTAGATTCGTCTGTCACCAATATGCACTTCAAAAGGTCCGGATTATTGTCATGTTGATGTAACAACCACTCACAAAACCGCACTCTTGCTGGAAAATCGTCAGGTTGAAGGGCTTGTACACGTTGGACGTGAAACGGATACAGCCCCTCTTCACGCAGCGTTTGCCACACTTTAGTTTTTGATACTTGCACTTCGCTAGCCACGTCTCTAGTGCTTGTTGTTTTTTGAAACGCAATCGATTATACGCGTTCGTTTACCTCTACACGCGTGACCGTAACCCTCGGTTGAAGGTTGCATACTGACCTGACACACTGACCCCGACCCCCGACCCAGTCCTGTCGTCGGGTTGAGCTAGTGTCCTAGTACCAGTTGGGGATGTCGCGAGTCGCGGCTACAGGACGGTATTCAGATATTTTTGATGTTGCAGAGCCCTTTATCTCGGTTCCCTTAAGACATTGGTGTATATGGTACTAAGAAAAATTGCTTATGTTTTCAAGATCTACACGTCGTGTAAAGGAAAACCCCAACTTTGCGGACACCCTGTAACGTATATACATGTTAATTACATGTATTTACATTGGTTCAAAACCATGAAAATAATAGGGTTAAGTGGAGGAGTAGCTATTCAGCTAAAGACGATTTATTATTATTATTATATGTCGATCACCCGATGCAAAAGACGTCAAAAACGTGCACCGGTGCTTCCAAACTTACGAATAAGTCTCGTGAAACTTGACTTCATCATACGCGTTCATGACACGTTACTAAAACGTATACGCTGAACGAATCTGCTTTACTGGATTTATGCATTGCGATCGTTAACAAGTTGGTAACATCTCATTTTGAACGATAATTATTTTTACAGAACGGGACAGAGCCTGTGGAGCCCTGTATAAGCAACATCCATGGTTTCACGTCCTGTTTCCTGTTCAGTATAGAGACTCAACACACGATCGGTTATGGCGGAAGGGTGACGACAGAAGAATGCCCGGAAGCTATATTCATCATGTGTGTACAGAGTATTACTGGGGTTATGATACAAGCATTCATGGTAAGTCAATATGAATTCAAATTACTCATTTTCCAAAAACACGACAGCCAGGCTTGTTGACTATACATACGCTCTTCTGTTTTTAGAATATATACAGTGAGATTCAAATTTGACTGACAGTTTGAGTTCAATGTGTACGAGACAGAAGTGGGTGAAGGTGGTAAATTTTTTGAAACATTTTTTGTCCGATCTCTACACATGACAACATATTGTAGCTTTTTTCTGGGTTCTTTTGGGTGCGGATTAAAAACACTCGATTCCACAAGGATAAATGCACTAATTTATTTAAAACACAATACAACTAATTTTAACTTAACTAGCTAGAACATTTATGTACATCACTGTTTATGTCTGACTACTCATTTACGAATTATTATGTCGCGCCATTCACTCAAATCTACTCTGCTTCCCTCTCCCGGCCGTCGCCCTATACAGGGTTATCCAAATTAAGTGTCCACCATTAGTAACTTTGTTATTAGTGAAAATACAAAGTTGTTTGAATTAGCAAACTAGTAGCATTTTTAACGCTGGTAAAAATGAGAAATAAAAAAAAACAATTGAGAGTCGTTATTTTTTCAGTAAAATGACATTTTTTTAAATGGAAACCCCTGTATATTATATTTTTTTCTGTTAAAGCATCAAATTTTAAACAAAAAAGCTTACAATAACTTTTCTCCTAGGTTACAAATTGTTGAAGTTATCGCCTCCAATCTGAAACAATTAAATTGTATCGACAAACTTTATTTTCAACATCAACTTATAATCTTACAAAATACAATAACAATTTTTTTTAAAGAAGATGCTCGAAAACACCACCTTGTTCTTCAATACATTTTTGGGCACGTTTTTCAACTGCTCGAACTGTCTTAAGTATGGTCCTACCATCTATCTGGGTTATCTTTTCCCTAACTGCAGTCTTTAACGCGTCAAGGTTATCGTACCTTCGCTTGTAAATTTGGTTCTTTAAGTAACCCCACAAGAAGTAATCAAGTGGGTTTAGATCTGGTGATCTGGGAGGCCACTGTATTGGGCCATTTGTTCCTATCCACTGATCATTAAAAGTAGTACTTAGAAAATGATAAGTACCTCTGGAGTTGTGGGCAGGTGCGCCATCTTGCTGAAAATGCAGATGATGTCTACTTATAAGATCCAATTCGTCTAAGAAATTAGTCAGAATTTCTGACATAAATTCCACATATCTTTCACCAGTTAGGGTTCCCTCATAAAAGAACGGGCCAACAATTTTTGAACCAATTATACCGCACCAAACGTTGAAACTGAAACGGACTTGTGGGCCTCTTGGATGTACTAACAAAAGATTTTCTCTTGACCAATAATGGTGGTTTTTTCTATTAAACATTCCAGAATTTGAAAAATTTGATTCATCTGTCCATAAAAGGTAACGAAAGTTATTTACATTTTGGCGACAGAAGCTAAGATACCAATGGCAAAAAACAAGTCTTCTCTCTGGATCCCCTGCCAAAAGCGTTTGAACTGGTCGGTACTTATACGGAATAAATTTGTATTTTTTTAAAATCCTTTGAACAGTACCATAACTGAAATTAGAGTCCTTGAGAATATCTGCTATTGAATTCTCACGATAAGCTTCAAAATATCCAATAACTGCAATTTCCGTGGCCTCGCTTATTATGAATTCTTTTTTTGCCCTTGTTTTAGCAAAAACATTTTCGTTGCCCCTAAATTTTCGATAAAGTCTCAGAAAATATCGTTCATACGGTTGAATGCGAGCGGGATATAATTCACTGTAGTATTCTCTTGCTCTCAAGGAGGATTTTCTGCACACTAAATAGCATTCTAACATATCACACTTTTCTTCATGGGAGAACATTTTTCTTTAAATTAATGACACAATAAAGCTTATAAACAAGTATTTACACTAATGTTTGACATTATTTGATTTTATCATTGTTTTCCAAAGCCTTCTAGTTGCGAGTATGTCCAGTTTAACAATTTGTCGCTTATCTTAATGCTGTCAAATCGCGAACGCCATGTTGTTTTCATAGCCGTCTTAATATTATAATACTGCAAATAATTAAAAATATTTATCGTTATTTTGACTTTATTTTTGACTTTAGCGGAAAAGTCATTATGAACTTTTTTGTTTAAAATTTGATGCTTTAACAGAAAAAAATATAATATACAGGGGTTTCCATTTAAAAAAATGTTATTTTACTGAAAAAAATCAAAATAACGACTCTCAATTGTTTTTTTTTATTTCTCATTTTTACCAGCGTTAAAAATGCTACTAGTTTGCTAATTCAAACAACTTTGTATTTTCACTAATAACAAAGTTACTAATGGTGGACACTTAATTTGGATAACCCTGTATATTCCGCATCGCATGTACTTGTTAGTTCGCGAAAGTTCCGGTGAGCCACATAGCGGCAGTCCAGAATCTTCTAGGTCACTTCGCGTCAATCTCGAAAGAGAATTTCTGGCGCGGTTCCCAACAGATGTCGCTGGTAGTACTATTTATTCTTGTTACAATGTAATGGCCAGCGAGATCTCGTGACTTGGCGTCTAATGATTTCTTTCGGTGGGGATATATGAGGACTCGCCTTTACTGTTGTCTCCGTGCAAGAGCTTTAGCGGAGTTGAGAGTAAATAATAGATGTACTGGGTTTGTCCGGAAAGTAATAGGACTGAGTCGATTTAAAAAAATTATTGAGCCAATCGTTACAATTCTTTGAAAACTTTCAAAATAGGCTCCTTCTGCGTCGATGCAGCGCTGCCGGCGCGATTTCCAAGCATTGAAGGCGTCAAGGAATAGCCTTGAGAGCCGCGGTGCATGCTGCTTGGATCCCCTCTGTCGTCTCAAAATGCTTGCCTTTCATCGGCCTTTTCAAGCGAGGAAACAAAAAAAAAGTCCGGGGGCCACATGTGGGCTGTAGGGCGGCTGCGGAAGCGTTGGGTTGCCAGCCTTGGTCAGGTACTGTTCACAAGAAAGGCGGTGTGAGCCGGGGCGTTGTCGTGGTGCAACTTCCAGTCGGCTGCGATGTCTTGTCGGACCCGACTGATCCTTCGTTTGAGTCTCCTGAGCACTTCCACGTAAAACTTGGCGTTGACGGTTTGTCCAGGAGGAACAAATTCATGGTGAACGATGCCTTTGGTGTCAAAAAAGACAATGAGCATCGTTTTCACTTTGGATTTGCTCTTTCTTACCTTTTTTGGGCGAGGAGACGCCGACGTGTGCCACTCGGAAGATTGCATCTTTGACTCGGGATCATACTCAAAGATCCACGACTCGTCACCTGTGATTACGTTATTCAAAAATTGGGGGTCACTTTCACACATGTTCAAATTTTCTTGGCACACTTCCACTCGCCGCAATTTCTGGTCGTCAGTGAGCACTTTTGGGACCATCTTCGCGCACACCTTGCGCATGTTCAAATGCTGTGTCACAATGTCATGAACCACAGATTTTGGTAAATTTTACATCTGGGCAATTAAACGAATATTTTGTCGAGTTCAAAACTTTGCGCACACGAGTCACATGATCGGTGTTTGTCGAAGTCGAAGGTCTTCCTGCACGTTCTTCATCAGCGACCTCTTCCCCTCCCTCCAAAAAGGCCTGGTGCCACCGAAACACGCCACTTCTTGCTAACGCAACACCTGGGTAAGCCTGCTTAATCATATCAAACGTCTCTGTTGCAGATTTACAGAGTTTAATCGCGTACCTCTGCTCTAACGAATGCTGCATTTTCGGCTTGCACCACTCACAGAAACGCGTCGCACGAAAATGCCTGTCCTGACTTTCCAAGTGCTCGGAGACAACTGACCAGCCGCTCATTCGTTAGCTAGGAACGCCCTCTACCGAATCCAGTCGGTGGCGGAAGAAAATGAGTCCTATTACTTTCCGGACAAACCCTGTATGCCGTTCGGTGACTCCTACCCTGCTAGAAAATGTTTGCACAGGCTTCTAGGTTAGGTTGGGTTACGGTCAAACCCAACAAGCAGATCCGTTAGAACATTTAATTTAATATTTTGTTTACATTTTGATCAGAATCATTTATTGGTTTCACTTTTTATGCAATTTCGTACTTTAATTATTTTTAGCATCAACTTTGATTTCCACCGATGGATGGAGATAAAATCAAAGCGAGTTATTGTATTCTCCGTTACCCACACAAAAGTTACTTTGTTGTTACTTGTTGGCATTCCCAGATCAGTGGAGTGTTATCACTCTAGGGCTTCCTAACTCTATGTGGGGCGCATAACTGTCACTGTCTATGGCGATCCTTCTAGTCGTCATTGTCCGTCAGAGCGGTCCGTGGGACCTTCGCTTTTTGTTAAAGTATCGTAGGTAGTAGGTCTGTCAGGTTTGTTTGCCCGGATACCGGACGAAGTCAGGGAGAAAGAAAGGAAGGAAGGGGGAAGAGTAAAAAGGGTGAAGTGTGCCAGTTAAAGGGGTGCCCTTATTTTAAATTGATACAAAAATTTATTTAGGAATTTGTATGCGTGGCAAAAATCGTAATTTTGGTTAGACCTAGAATTGCACGATTTGATGTTGATCACCGTGCGAGCCGCGGTCTTGTGTGCTTGCGAACTTGCTCGACTGTGTGGTCTATTGACTCACTCAAAAGAGGGTTGCTGTGCGATTCCGCTTGACTATAACGTTACCGCGTTATTTGACCTAGTCCCTTAGGTAAGGGATGTCGAGGTCTTGTTTTGGAGACATACCATGGTGCGTTAGTGATGGTTTAAGAGATACTCAGCAGAATTTACCCATTTAATGCAAAGTTCATTCTCTGGAACCTCAGGCGAGGCGCCGCTACGTTTTTCAGTACAATGGCTAGCCTGCGTTTTCGAGTCATTAATTTTGAATAACCACCGATCTGCCCATTCCAATACCTCATCCACCGCACTTTGTAACCTGCCGTAAGCCAGATTCCCAGAATGCGTCTGGGCCACCACTGCAATGTCATCAGCATATAGATAGACTTCACAGAGTCGCTAGGGCAAGGGACATGGACATTATGCGTGAAAAGTAAGTAAAGGATTGGTCCTAGAACCGAACCCTGAGGGACTCCGGCTCTGATGGAACGTAATGTGGAGAAGACATTATTAATTTTGATCCGAACTTGTGATGCCCCTGGTTACTCGCTCCACAAGCCTAACCGCCTGTCACTCCGTACTATGCTCAGACCGAAATCCAAATTGCACGTCATGAATCACATGGTGACCTGACGATAAAGTCGCAGGGTGACATAAAATCACCCTTTCAGCGAGCTTAGATGGAGCAGACAGTCGGCTAATGGGACGACAGTCCTGGGGAAATATCGAACCCACCTTCTTTGAAATCATTATAACTTCCGCAGTCTTGTACGCCTATGGAAAGTACTGGGTCCTAAGCACGGCATTGATAATAGCTATGAGTCAAGGACTTCCGTGAAAGCAGCTTCAGTTCTTGTTAGTGATTTGATCTTCCCAGGCACTTTACGCACCTTGAGGTCTTTAATATGACCTTGAAGCTCTGCTGGTGTGCAATGCGGGATCTCTGGAAATGCCGCAGATATTCTTCAGTTAAATAAACTTCTGAAAAAGAATCTTCCAAGGAAGAATCACTAATGGCGGCGCCGAGATCACTGACGCCTTTGGCCCTAAAATATCTCCTGACGAATCTTACAATTTCTTGCTCCTCGTCGAGATCATTATCAAGATTAGAGTTGTCCATAGCATCAGCAAAAACCTCGACCTTGTCCTTTGTCCTGAAGACTATGGCACCAGGACCGTGGATGTGCGGGAGTTGTTCTCGCCTTCCGTTTCTGAGCGACTTCGCCACTTTCCAGAGAGGAGTACTTGAGTCAAGCATCCCCGCCAGAAAGTCGTTCCATTGCTCATTGAGGAATTCATGGAGAGCATTTCTTACTTCATGAGCAAGATTCGTCGCTCTGCGAATGTCATCAGGATGACAAGACCTGTTCGCTTGCTTAATTGCAGCCTTTTGTAAGAAATTTTCTGACGCATATCTGCAGGGAGATTTTTGAATTCTTGACAAGATTCTAAAATATTGCAGAGTCACAAACCGTGTTCATGAAGTAAAGAATGTTCTTCATGCTTGACGCAAGTGTTCCTCTCTGGAAGGTGACGAAATTAGTCAAAAACGCAAAGCGAGACCAGATCCCGCATATTCACGGTTCTGGGGGCATGCCAAGATCGACTTCCTGAACATCGATCACCCCGCTTCAGAGGTAGTTCTCGTCCTTCCAGTAGCTTGCTGGCTCTCTTTCTGACCACGCATCCTGTCCCTTACATTACTGCTGTCCTGTCCCCCCTGGGTAGCTCAGACTACGGTGTTGTGGAGGTTATGTTTCGGTCAGAACCCGCTGTGGCAGCAGAAACTCGCACAGGCCGCAAAATGTGGCATTATGGACTGGGAGGGGCTCAGAGACTTCTCTTCTGCCTTTTCTTTGAGAGATGTCTGTTTCACTGACGCGGATGCGTCGGCTGCCTGTTCTTCGATAACCAAAATTATCCACGTCGGAATGGAGGAATACATCCCTCATACAGTGAAAGTGCCTAAACCAGGGTCACAGCGCAATGGGAGTCAGTCTTTCTAGGCGCTGGCCAAGCAGATTGAAAAGAAACTCTCACACAGCAGAATTCCACCACTTACGTGTCAGGATGAAACGATTGTATTGGACTCAAAGGCCAAGGCGGAAGTCCTTGCCAAGATCTTTGGACACCATGGACGTCCCCTCCAACCCTATGCGGGAAGTAACATTCAGGTATAAGACCGTAAGACGAGTTCTCTTGTCGCTCGACATCAACAAGGCTTCTGGTGCCTAAATCGCGAGCTTCTGGACTACCTCGAACCTCACACCTTGACTAGCGACAGGCAGTATGGTTTCCCGCACCAGCGATCCACAGGGGGCCTCCTAACTTACGTCACGCGATTGTGGAGTAAACTCATCCAGTCTTACGGTGAGGTTTATGTCGTTGCTCTTGACATCACGAAAGCGTTCGATCCTCTTACATATTAACGACCTGCTTTCCTGCACGATCAACCCAATCCACAGCTTTGCTGAGAACAGTACTCTACGTGCAGGAATTCAGCGTGACAAGCCGATCTCTCCGCTGAGCTGGAAAAAAGAAGACTAGCGACGACTTCCTCTCTGACGAGAGACCTGGAGGTTATCACTGCTCATTGCGGAATACATGGAGAGCATTTCTTACTTTATGGAATATATATGGCGATCATTTTACTACTACCACATACCACCGCATCTCTTACGTAATGCAGGATTGCATACATCTCTACCTGAAATGCATAGGCGTGTCTTCCAGGTGGTATTCTATGCCCAGGATTACACCTGTTCCCCGCTGAGCTTTTGACCCGTATTTGTATCAGGTATTTTTCCCTTGCAGGTTGTCCTTGCGGTGATCCGTTCGATCTCCTATTCTTGTCTGAAATATTGAATTAACCTATTTTACATTTTTTCCTACAGGTTGGTGTCGTGTTTGCGAAGCTCTCCCGTCCAAAGAAACGAACGCAAACACTGCTCTTCTCAAGGCACGCCGTCATCAACCACAGAGATGGAGTTCCGTGTTTGATGTTCAGGGTTGGGGATATGAGGAAGAGTCACATCATCGAAGCGCACGTTAGAGCGCAGCTCATTAGGCATAAGGTTACGAAGGAGGGAGAACACTTGCCATTCTTCCAGACTGAGTTAAAAGTAAGTACGTTTTTCGCTGTTTAGATCGTTGAAGGGCCAACCTTATATTTTTCTTTTTTTTCAATAGAGGAATGTAGGGATTCACTACCTGACTTGATTCTTGAGCTACTTGAGTTAAAGTCGGGTCAAGCTCAAGTCAAGTATTACCACAGCCGACGTCAACTACGAGCCGTGATGAAAGAAAGGCAACACCGCGCTCGGACGGTATGGTAGTGCTACCTGTGAACGTCGGCCGCCAGCGGCTGTGTGCTCCGTCTCAAAAAATTTTTACCTTGTTTTATAAAGTATCCTCCCGACAAGTATTTCAGTGCGGACCTGTATTTGATCGTGAGGTCTTGGAGCACCGGCATGCCGTCACCTGATTCACGAGCCCGTTGTACTACATTAACAAAGGCACGAGGGGTTGGTTGCACTCGATTGGGAAACCGATCCGCATAAACATGTGCCATTTTTTATTTCGTTTGAGCCACGCAACAGACACCACTATTCACTGACACTGACTGTATACAAATGAATAAAATAATTGTAAAAACATCGTTCCAAATTCTTTCGCTTTTTTGTTTCCGATGCGATGAACCGATACGGCGGATTACATCCGTTGTCGCCAAACACGAGCACATAATATTATTATTGAGACAGGGCGGTACTCAAACTTCCAAAGGGCTATAACTTTGTTACTTTAATTTTACCAGAAAAATGGTAAAGGAAAAAAACATTTCTTTTGATCAGATCTACTCACTGTTAAAATAAATGACTCAACTTCGAAGTATATGAGTCGCTAATGCAGTTAACCTAATTAAAAGTATTTAGTTTACGTTTTTTGGTGTCAGCACACTGTGTTCCAACAGACCCAGCTTGGAAATGTGGAGTTACCTGTTTGTTTTTTATACATTTACTTTCAGTTTTACTGTTATTTTTCAATTTTACATAATCATTCAAAATTATGTTTGAAAAAATAGACAAAAGCTTAGATAAAATATCTGCATAATTGCGGCCACAGATGCAAGTTAAAGAAAATCCACTGTATATAAAGTCAGACTGAATGCTGAGCAAGGTTAACTGACACAAAATAAATTTTTGATTATTGCTTTTCAAGAAGAACATTTCCAATCTATCTACATTAATAATAGATTCAAAAATGGCATACATATGGTAGAATATGATTGGTGCATAACTGGTTGGAATTGACAGTCCTCCTCTTTGCAAATGATCAAAATAAAACATTTGTTGTTAATGAACCTTCTTCTTTAACTATTAACGATTTGCATATCTCGCAGTTTAGGTTTTTAGAGATAGCGTGTGAAGCATATCCAGATATATAAGTCTTAGTACTATCCTCTATGTCACAATTGGCTAAGTAATTTGTCTCAAATACTTCATTGAATATATCCAAAACTTCAGGATTTTGTTTGGTATCCAAGAAATCAAAATTTTCTTGAGTTTCTAAGCAGTTTTGGACCCTTGTTTTAATTTCTGCTAAAGAAAATGACGATTTCTTTTCATTGAAAATATGCTTCAGCCGTATTTTATTTTCAGCATTTAAAATTTCATCATATGATACATTGTAATTGCAGCCACATAAAAGTCTATAATTGCCAAATCGTTTTTCTAAATTATCAGTGATGAATTTTCCAGGCAATACATACTCAATGTCAAATTGATTAAATGAATATTCAATTATATTAGGTAGAGTCAGCGTGCTTTGATATAGAGCTGTATACGTTTCTGGTGTCAGGTGTCCATTATTATTCTCTAGACCATATCAGGAATTTTTTTAAAAATTGTTCTCTATAATCATATTTATTGGTAATAGGCTTACAAAATTCGTTTCGCTTCAATTCTCCTTTTATTACACTTGTATTACTGACAATATCCCACCAATTCCTGATTATTTCCAAAACGTGTGCAGCATCATTAAACTTTAATTCTTTCATAGCAGCTATTGTTGAGTGATGGAATAAATTATCTACAAAATTTACATTTTGCCTTTCAAATGAATTTGGATGCAATGTTTTATAATTAATTTATATGCTTTCTTAACTACAGCTACTTTTTCCAATTGATATACAGCACGAATGTTTTCAAATTTAGCATACTGAATAATATCATTATTGTCAAAATTAGGATATACAAAAGTTTTGTCTAGGTTTTTCAAATTAATCCAATTATTTCTGATACTCTTGAAAATATGCACATCATAAGTTAAATATATATGTTCTTATCAGGATTATGTGGATTTGGAATAGAATAATTTTCTGATGAATCCTTTGCTAATTTCCTAAACATTGCTCTATTAATTCGGTGATTATCAGTAACAACACAAATAACTTCAAATCCACATTTTTGAACTAAATTTATCACATTTGGTGTCATTTCATCACCTGTTAGATTTGAAACTGGTAGTAATTTGATAATTTCTGTTATGTTTCCAAATGCTGAAGATAGCATGAAGGCTAAAACAGTTTTAGCCATGTCATTTTTATTTGAGGCATACCCAACAATGTTTTGTGAGCGATAGTCCAGCCTAGATGTTATATAAATTTCATCGATCATCAAAATTACAATTTTTTCTCTTGGAGCTAATTTAATTGCTATATTCGAAAGGTAGTGTTCATTATTCCTATTATTTTTTGGAGATATATCCATACTTGAGGAGATATGTTGTAAGTATCGCTTACTTGGCAAAATAAAAAATCTTTTAATTAAATTATATGTTGATGATGAGTGGTTATAAAACGTAAAAGCCATTATTATTGAAAGTGATGCATATCTGTTTTTCCTGTTTTGAATTTGTCTCAGCTGATCAGCAATAAACTCTAGATTTTTTGTGTATGGAAACATAACTAAGTCATTATTAATTATGGAAATCGCTGTGTCAAGTTGTTCCAATCCATGATGCAAACTTCAACAGAGTTTTTGTGTTGGTTCTCAGAAAATAGAAAAAATACCTTTTTAGCAGGTTTTCTAATTGGGACCATCTGGTAATTTTGAGATCATATGGCAAAACCCACTTCAAGTCACTAAAATAAAGCTTACATCCTTTATGAACAACCTGAACTTCCATCTGACCATCAACTATAATCTGTGTATTCAAAGTTAAGATATCATTTTCAAAATCCAATTTATAAAAATATAGCTTTCCATCAGATAATTTATTATTCCATTTCTGTGAGGCTTTAATTTTTGAAAATGAAGAATGTAATTCTTGAAAGTCTTTGATCTTATCCATATCATCGAAATTCTGGATAGCTTTTTCATGTTTCTCAATTAATTTTTGTTTTCTTTGCATTGGGTCAGTTCTTTTGGGTGCTTCAGTTTTTGAAAGATATGATGGCAAGTTTGGGAAAATGGAGGGAACAGCATTTTCTTTCAATTTTGGATATTTCAAAGGTATTTTGGACTGTTCCATCCGCCAAAACTATATTTTCTGTCCTGATGATATCCAATTCTCTAAAATGACGACTGCACACAGCTGAATATTTTTAAGGTGTCCAATTTTTTCTGGGAATTGCCATAAGCCATTTGTTTTTCAGACTTTCGGTACTTGGGAAGCGAAAAGTTGAAACATAGCTTTCTGTTTTCAAAGCAGAATTATAGTTTGCATTGCATAAAGGAACACAGCAACAACGAGGCATATTGTCTGCGTCAAATACTTGATAAATGAAAAAAGAAAAATACAACCTGAATTTGCATGTTTTCAATAGTTGAAATCCTTAGCGTCCTGAGGCGCGAACAGCCACAGTCACACTTCTTTGTTTATTTTTAAAGCACAGAAGCACTACAACTGGAGTCTATTTCTCATATATTATAGTCACCGATCACTTTGAACACATACACACACTTTGAAGCTTAGAAAACAAGCTTATCTCTTAATTACAGCCTCTGGGATTCCCAAATCACAAATTGAAAAGGTTATGTTTTCTCAGCGTTTTGAGCACGAGTTGCGTCGATGTAGCAAGCAGCGGCGGGAGTAACACTACCACCTACGTTGCCAGATTTCTTTGTTCACGGCTCGTAGTTGACGTCGGCTGTGGTATTATTACATATTAGCAATCTGATATCAACTCAAGTAGTTTTTACGTCTGTCCATCAAGTACATGAAAATTCGAGTAGTCTTGATATATTTCTAGATAATTTTTGTAATACAAATAAAAGATAATACAGGGTTATCCAAATTAAGTGTCCACCATTAGTAACTTTGTTATTAGTGAAAATACAAAGTTGTTTGAATTAGCAAACTAGTAGCATTTTTAACGCTGGTAAAAACGAGAAATAAAAAAAAACAATTGAGAGTCGTTATTTTGATTTTTTTCAGTAAAATAACATTTTTTTAAATGGAAACCCCTGTATATTATATTTTTTTCTGTTAAAGCATCAAATTTTAAACAAAAAAGCTTACAATAACTTTTCTCCTAGGTTACAAATTGTTGAAGTTATGGCCTCCAATCTGAAACAATTAAATTGTATCGACAAACTTTATTTCAACATCAACTTATAATCTTACAAAATACAATAACAATTTTTTTTAAAGAAGATTCTCGAAAACACCACCTTGTTCTTCAATACATTTTTGGGCACGTTTTTCAACTGCTCGAACTGTCTTAAGTATGGTCCTACCATCTATCTGGGTTATCTTTACACTAATGTTTGACATTATTTGATTTTATCATTGTTTTCCAAAGCCTTCTAGTTGCGAGTATGTCCAGTTTAACAATTTGTCGCTTATCTTAATGCTGTCAAATCGCGAACGCCATGTTGTTTTCATAGCCGTCTTAATATTATAATACTGCAAATAATTAAAAATATTTATCGTTATTTTGACTTTATTTTTGACTTTAGCGGAAAAGTCATTATGAACTTTTTTGTTTAAAATTTGATGCTTTAACAGAAAAAAATATAATATACAGGGGTTTCCATTTAAAAAATGTTATTTTACTGAAAAAAATCAAAATAACGACTCTCAATTGTTTTTTTTATTTCTCATTTTTACCAGCGTTAAAAATGCTACTAGTTTGCTAATTCAA